TGAAGTCAGGGCTATTCAGAAAAATGAAATGAGGCCTCAGCATAAGGTCTTGTTTGAATTTGTCAACAAATGCTTATTGCCCAGGCAGGAGAGACGGCACATCGCCAATTATATGGACCTGGTTCTTATGGAGTGCCTGGAGAATGGAAAGCAAATCAATTGGCTTGCCTTCATTATCAAGCTGCTAGACAGGGTAATAAATGGCTCCAAGGCTCATGCTACTCCCTATGGCTTTATTCTAACCATGATTCTGGATAGGCTCAATATGCCTCTAAAGAAATGGGAAATGGCCTCAAGCAAAGAACATGTTGGCATCAACACTCTGATTGCTTGTGACTACTTAGTCAGTGCCATCCCAAATGAACCTGGTTCATCCAAGAAGACTCCTATCAACGACAAAGTTAGGGCTCTGGTTCAGGAATGTGAAGCCAAGGATGCTGAGATAGCTAGGCTGGAGGCTCGTGTGGTAGAGGTGGAATCTGATAGGGATGCTCTCAGAACTAAGCTTACCAAAGAAAAGGAGAAGAGTGATGGAATTCTTCATAATATGTTGAATCTTCTCCAAGCCTAAAACTAACCCTCTAGCTCCTTCAAGCCTTAGGATTCCTAGCTTTTGTCTTCTGAACTTGTCTAGTACCTCAGTGACCCAAATTAGGGATTTTTCTAACTTTTTGCTCATGGTTTAAATGTTTTTCTTTTTGGTTGTGGATTGTGATGGCAGCATATCTCTATCAATGATAACTACTATTTTGCTCTTGTTCAATGTTAATCTTTCTTTGAAAGTTTAAATATGTTTGCTTGATTACTGATGATTAAACCATGAATGCACTTGCAGTTGCCCCAGTGGCCATGAGTACTTATTAAAATCTGGAACTCACACTATGCAACTTTTCAATGATGCCAAAAGGGGGAAGAGATATTGTGCTTTACATATTCTGAAAAAGTGATATTTATAACCTAATTAATCTGGTCTTTGATGATAAGTGAATTTACTAAACTTTGTATTGATGGTTAAGCTGAGTTCTTACAGGATCCATATAAGTAAAAAGCACAGAGTTAGTCATCATCAAAAAGGGGAATTTGTTGGCCCAAGAACAGGTGATGTTTTGAAGACTGACAAAAGAACTCAGACATGGATCAGGTCCATCTTGTGAAGCACAGTCATGATCAGCATGTACATGTAAGATGCACGTGAAGGAGATAAGTCTAACGGATCAAGCTGCAATATTTCCTGATCTGATCGAAAAGGTTGCATATTGGATAAGGAGAGAAAGACTCCTTACATGAAGAGAACACAGTTTACGATGAAGATTGCGTTAGAGTTTAAGATCATCATGAACTATTCTACGATAGAAGAGTAGCAATTGAATCTCACTCAAACTCTGATTACTAACCTATTAAATGTCAGTGTTGTTCTCTTTTACAAGTAATGCACATAAGCAGAAGTTAAACTTAAATTGAGAGCAAAAGAGCAAGGGGATTTTGCAAGCAATTTATATGTAATTTAAGTGTGCAATCCTGAAGCTACTTGAACGAGATTGAAGGACCAGTTCCATTATGTCTATCTTTTATTCTAGTTCAATTGTAGTAGGTAATTTAACATTGTACCTTTCAGCTTTCATAGAAGCAATTGTATTAGGTACCTAGAGTGTTCAAGTTATGGCTAACTTGAAGTTGTCGCAACAGTTGAGGTTGTGTGCCACAACGGGATTAGAGTTAAACCTTAGGTTTACAAAGAGTTTTTGTAAATGCTGTTTTGGCTCAGTGATTTTAGTAAAAGTTTGGGAAAATCCTACTGAGTAGTAGGTCGTGGTTTTTTCACCTTTTGAGCCAGGTGTTTTCCACGCAAAATTGTTGTGTTCTTTATTTTCTGTATTTATTATTCCGCAAACAGTAGTAGTTGGAACATCTAGAAGAACCAAGTTCTTCTATAGTACAGTTAAGCGAAAATTGGGTGCCACACAAATCACATCCCCCCCCCTCTTGTGTGGTATTAACGCTTAAAACATCACTTGTTTACTTGATACGAAATTGAGCTTAATTGAGTATTCTTGTGTTTCTGCTGTGTGTTTTACTTTGGGACTACTAGACGGCATCCAGGGAGATCCCTTGTACGTATTTATGATTTGAACTGAGGTGCGAGATACCGAGAGATCCCTGGCTCATATATTGAGGATACCAAGAGATCCCTAGCATGTATTGAGGATACCGAGAGATCCTCAGGATACCAAGAGATCCCTGGTTATTTTCTTGTGATTGGTTTTGCCTCTGTTTCAGTTATTAAATTCCTTATTTTCCTGTATTAAATTTTTATCGTTAGTTTTCAACTATACTGCTCATTTTATACTGTCATGTCTTATATTCTAGGGCCCTGACTTTCCTCGTCACTACCCGACCGAGGTTAGGCTTGGAACTTACTGAGTACCGCTGTGGTGTACTCATGCCCCTTCTGCGCATGTTTTTCATGTGCAGATCTAGGTATTGCTACTCAGTCCTATCACCCTTGAGGCGAGGCGAGGCTAAAGCTCTAACGACTTCGAGGTATATCTGTCGCGTCCACAGACCGATGAGTCCCTTTCTATTCTAGCTTTTAAACATTTGCCCTTCTGTATTTCTTTTCCTTGTTAGATATTCTGGAGTTAGAGTACTATGTAGTGATCCTTAGCTTGTGATTCATGGGTTTCCGGGTCTTGGAGATATGTATTGGTTCCTGAGAGTTAAATATTGTGTATGTCGAGCGGCACTTTTAAACGTTGTTTTATCACTCTTTATTTTGTTTTAATTTGTTTTTATTTCGCACTTTGGTTATCTTTCGCAATTTAGGCTTACCTAGTCATACAGGACTAGGTACCGTCATGATAGTTCACGGAGGGCGAACCGGGGTCGTGACAATGTCAGTAGCTAGCCTTGGCTTACAACTGGATGGACTAACAAGAATTGCAAAGAACAGGAGAGACTAGAGAGCTTTTGAGAGTATAATAGTGTAGATGAACTAATGCTCATTGTTCAGAAATTAAAATAAGAGGGGGTTTATGTAGTAATCAAAAGCTTAACAAATAAGGTAAGAGATCAATTAAGTAGCAAATCAAGGAAGTCACATGTAAATCAGCAGGTCCTTCCCTTAATCAAGGGACAATTAAATCAACGGTAAAAGTATGCTAAGTATTTAAGGAAAAGAATCAAGTAAGGTTTAGTATAGAGTAGGTAATTAGGGGTAAATGAATAGAAGTTTTAATTAAGGAAACAAATCAGTAAAATCAGCAAAATACAAACAAGGCAAAGGAAAATTAATTAAGTCAAGCAATTCAATCAAATCGAGTAGCGAGGTAAGAATCGAAAGTCTAAGGGAAAGTGTTCAAATCAAACCAAGACATAAGGAATTCAGAATAATCAAAGAGAAAGTCATGAAAGAGTCAGCATATTTAGCATATAAAATAAGGTAGAACATGAATAGTCAGGATTCCACATAACTTTAACAAAACAAATAGTTAGAACGACACTTATTCAAGATTAATGTTACAGGTCTTAACACAAATAGTCAGGATGAGCATATAGAAACAGTAAAAGGGTTGAACTAAGAAATTCAGTAGAAGCATATTAGGACAAGAAAATTACGAGAAATCACAAGAACCCAAAGCGAGAACACAATCAGATTTACCAATACTCAGAAACCAAACGAAGAACCCCAAAAACTAAGGCTTTCAGTACAAACGGGCTAAGGTTGTAGCAGACTTACAAAATCAGTCAAAATATATGGGAAGCAGAAGACTAAACACAAAAAGTTATCAAACAATTTGTAAAAAGAAATTCCGGAAACCCTAGTTTAGAAAAAAATGAAAATCACTTGAAAATCATATGATTCTTGTAAAGAATTAAGGTTATTGTAAAACTCACACGAAACAAACCCAAATCATCTTAGATCTGTACAGATCTAAGAGGTTAGAAAAGAAATTAGAGTTTCGAAGAGAACCATACAGAGGTGAAGAAACCTGCTTAGAAAATCATAGATCGTAGTCAATATAGGACGATCTTACTCGGAATCACACTGGAATGGCCTGAAACAGGCGAGAGAGAAACCATAGATGCAAGTCAACTAGCCCTGGTCCCTTGAGGGCCCCGGAGATGGCAAGATTAACGTGAGGGAGGCCATTGGAGGCCTAAGAGGTGGTGTGAAATCATCTGAGATGGCCATGGACGAGGGTCAGTGAGATTATTAGGGTTAGGCTTTGAGAGCATTTGAGAGCAGAGAGGGGTTTCAGGGCGGTGGGTAGTATGGAATGATAGGGTTTGAGGGGTCTTTTGGGTTTATTTTAGGAATGGTCGTTTGTGGTCGTTGATCTTTATGATCAACGGCCGAGATTAAAAGGTTTTGGGGGCCGGATCAGGTAGCTAGGATTTGGGTTGGGTAATTTAATTGAAATTGGGCTGGTAATCGGGTTAGGTTGGGGCTGAAATTGAAAATAAAATAGGCTAGATTTTAAATAGCCACTTTTAATAGTTAAATAATTTATAAAAATAATAAGTGATTTCCAAAAAATATTTTCGTGTACTAAAATGATTTAAAATAGTTATTTAACATTTTAAAATGTAAAAAATCATTTTATGCATCAATAATGTAATTATGCATTAGTAGGGCTATTATTGCAAAGATATGCAATTTAGCCTAAGAATGTACATGCAATTATAAAAAATGCACTAAAATATTTAAATAATATTTTTGCATAAATAAAGAATTTAGATGACTAAATCACCAAAAAAATAATTTGAAGGATAATTATTGGAAATTTTATAAATAAAAAGGGAAGAAGTAAATCAATTTGGAGCTTTTAAAAATTATAGAAATATTATAAAAAATGCTTATGCATGCTTATAACTGCATATGTGCTATTTTGAAAGTATGTATATATATATATATATATATATATATATATATATATATATGAGGAAAAATTGGGTATCAACACTTGTGTTGCTGCATCCTCAACTGAATTCTGTAATTGCTATTTTTCGTCGCTTTTTGCGCTTGAATCTGCCATGGAGTTAATGTTTCGAGAAGCTTTTTGGTCACCACAGATTTGCCGTATTCCCCATTGTGAAGGAAACTTGATAACTTGCTGTAAAGTAGATGGAACAGCATCCATTTCGTGAATCCATGGTCTGCCGAGAATCATATTGTAAACCATATCCATTTCTATCACTTGAAATTTGGTGTCTTTGACTACTCCTTCTACGAATGTGGTGAGTATTATCTCCCCTTTTGTTATGATGCTCGAGTTATCAAAACCACACAAGGTGCGTGCCTTGGGTAACAACTTATCATTGGCTTGATCTCGTTTACCACTCTCAACACAATGATATTCACAGAACTACCTGGATCAATCAAAACTCCTTTTACATTAGTGTGATGTACAAGTAAAGATATTACCTGTGCACTATTATGCGGGGTCAGCACGCCATCTGTATCTGCATCATCAAATGTTATATTATCTTCTTCCAAAACCTGTCGAACTCGCTTCCTGTGTGTGACTGTAATTTTTGACACCTTCTTTGCTGCCGTATATGTTACGCCATTGATCTCCTCTGTTCCATTTATGACATTAACCGTTCTCTTTGGTGAAGAAGGTTTTGGCGGTTCCTGCCTATTCTTCATATATGCTTGCTTTCCTTTTTCACTAAATAATGCAGTTAAGTAACCTTGTTTTAGTAAGTGCTCTACTTCTCCTTGTAGCAATCTGCAATCTATCATTTTGTGACCGTGCTCGTTGTGAAATTCGCACCAAAAATCGGGATTTTTCCTGTTTGGGTTTGATCTCATTTCTTTTGGCCACCGTACCTTGTCTCTCGTGCTTCTTAGAATAGCCACCAAGTCGGATGTGCTAACATTAAAATTGTAGCCACCGATTTTTGCTTTTTGAGCTTCTGTCATCGTCTCGCGTATCTCGCATGTTTCGATCTTTTTCGAACCTTGACGATGAACTTGACTCTCTATCCCTTGATCTAGGATCATACCTTGGGTTTTCCTATTTTGAATGCGAATCCCTACCTGCTGGTCCCATATAAGGTTCGTACCTGTTTTTACCGGACCTTTTTTCAGTTTTAGCTCGTCTTGAACTCATTCTTTCATCTTTCCGGGAATGAATCATAGTATCTTCTTCTATCCGCAGCTTTGTATTGTATCTATTATAAACATCATTCCAAGTTGTTGTTGGAAATTCTCGTAAGCTTTCTTTGAGTCTCCTCGTGGCTTCCGAGCTTTTTTCATTTAGATTACTGGCAAAGGCCATAGCCGCCCAGTTATCTGGTACACGTGACAACATCATCCTTTCACCCTGAAATCTGTCTACAAATTCCCTAAGCAGCTCAGTATCTCCTTGTTTTATTTTGAAAATGTCCTCCATTCGCTTTTTAACTTTTTGGGCTCCCGAGTGTGCTTTGATAAATGAATCTGCAAGCTCAGCAAAAGAGTCAATAGAATTTTCAGGTAAAAGAGAATACCATGTCAATGCTCCCTTCGTGAGTGTTTCTCACAATTTTTTGACCAACATTGATTCAATTTCTTGCTTGGTCAAATCGTTGCCCTTTACACCAGTTGCAAATGCAGTTACGTGATCCTGTGGATCAGTTGTTCCATCGTATTTTGGAATATCAGGCATCTTGAATTTCTTTGGAATTGGTAAAGGAGCGGCACTTGGATTCCAAGGTTGTTGAGAGTATTTGTCCATATCTATTCCCTTGATTATAGGCGCCACTCCAGGTATCTGCTCTCTGCGATCGCTTTGCTCTTTGAGCTGTTTCTGCAAAGTTAGTACTAAACTTTGTAAATCAAAATTAACTGGGTTACCTGACCCTCCATCATGAGATTCGCTGGGAGTTCCTCCACTGCCTAAGTTAACGAGTCCTGAGCGAGGATTTTCTACGGTGTTGTTGTTTGGAGTTGGTGTTGGTGGTACAGCCAGCAACTGGTTAGCAAAAGCCTGAAGAGCATTACTGATCTATTGAGCAATTAATTTTTTCAAAGCTTCATCAATAGCCTGATCATTCTCAAACTGCTCGTTCATATTTGATTCAGATCCATCAGAAATCCCTTCTCGAGACTGTCGAGGAGAGTTTCGTTGTGAGGGGACTGGAGTTCCATCACCTTGTTGATTCTCCTAATGTTGCTGATTTTCTTGGTGCTGTAAATTTTGTTGGTTGTTGTCGTTGACATTCGACATGATTGTTTTGACAAAGAGAGTTGATTTAGAAAGTAAAAGATTATCAATGTCCCGGCAACGGAACCAATTTGTTTAACTAGAAAATAGGAATTTCGGTCAAAGCAGAATTTTAGAAGAACTCGGGTTACTGATAATCAAATAAGGAAATAATTATGTAATAAGAAAAGAAAAATTGGACTGAGAAGAAGCCGAGTAAGCAAAATAAAGCAATGTAAATAAGTATATTCCAATAATAATCAGTGTGTCCATACAAATGTTATTTCTCTCCCTTTTATAGCTATTTCTAAGTACTATGTTTCCTTTCTCTCATAATAGAGCCATTATGAGCAATTAATGACATTAATGAAACGTTATAATTGGCAATCGTAACTGTTTCGTGAAGATTCTATAACGTTTCCCATTATTTATGCTCAGTAATTGCAGATATTACGTATCTGTACTTTTTGCTATCTTGGTTCATTCCACCGGTGTCTCTTCAAATTATCAAGAGACCTGAGTAATTTTTCCTTCTTGTTTTCCTGACCTTTCGCCCGTACCTATTAATACTCGTGTCTCTTTAAATACTATTTGCCAACTGTCACTCTTCTATTAATTCACGTGTCTTGACATGTCAATCACATAATCAATCCTAAGTGGAAAAACGATTTTCCCCAATACATATTGTCGTTGCTTGAAGGACGTCTGCAAAAGCGAGATTACTTGAATAGTTGAATACGTCAAGTGATTATACGTCAAGTTGAATAGCCTGAGTTGCATTTTAAGCTCGATTGCCTACCATCAAACGTTGTATTTCGACCGATTTTCTTGAAGTCGAGATTTTCAAAACGTTACGAAAGACATTTTCACATTGGATTCTCTGAGTAGGGTTTCTCGCGACTCGCATGCTGGATATGTAATGCATGCATCTCCCTTAATTAGCTATCATCCTTTTCTATTTCTTTTTATAAGTTAATTTTTTTTTTAAAAAAAAAAAAAGGCACAGCGTCAAAGGTGAATTAACCATGACATTCTGAATTGTTAGTTCAACCTTTGCCAACCTTAATATAGAAACTTCAGCAAACCTAACCTCAAATAGGTCAAACCAAATTATTTGAAACCTACTTTTCTCGCTAGTTACCTCAAACATTAAACTATTCAGGAGATTTCCAGATTCATAATTCAAGTTCCAACTCTCTTGTCCATAGCCAACCTGGATTAGACAGTTCAATGCTAAAACCAATGAACCACTTGCGATTTTTCAAACCCCTTGGCCAAAGATCAGGTGATCTTAGACTCTCAGATCACAAATAATCATTTGCGTATATATACCTTGTTTTCCTCGAAAAGAGTTTCCATTTTCGTACATTTTCCATCCATTATTGTAGCCTAGCTAGTAGCTATAATTGGGTACTAAGTATCTGTTATCCGTGTTAAAATGAGTTGTTAATACCAAATTTTAAAAAGAAGTCCTAATTAAGATTGCACTAAAAATTAAAGTTGTTGAAAAGTCTACTATTGAAGCCCTTTGCATCCATGAGTAGGCAATATTTGTATTTAAAAATAGGTCACCAAAGACTTATAGTCCAGTGACACTAGTGAAAATCGTCTAGTGTGTATTCAATTTTCATTTTGCCCGTTGTCCTTTTCCAGTTTTCTTATGTAATAGAAAAGAAAAATTTAAAAAAAAAAAAAAAAAAACAGATTTAGAAGCCAAAATCGCTTAGTAGTTTCTAACACAAGTGAAAGTGCCACATTTACGGTAAGCGGAATCAGAGACGGACCTATGTCGTAAAGAGATGGGTCACCAGCATCCGGAAAACTCAGTAAATATTGCATGTACACATATATATTTTTAAAAAATAATAATATATTAGTAGTGATACCCTATATACAAAGAAGATTTTAGTTGAATGTAAAAGTGCACCGCGACCTTCAAATCCTAGGTCTGCCTAGCTCTTAGCGGAATGGTGGCGTTTCATTTGTTTCGAAACCTCTAGTTATTATCAACATTAATTATAAAATTTGCTTTCATTTTGTCCTTTAGAAGCATCCTTTTTGATTCCCAATCTGAAAAACAAAAACGTTAATATACATACATCATGTCTATAATACATATAGAGATAACATAAATGCACCACCTTTTTAGTTTTGTGTCTACAGATAGTTCCAAAATCATTTGAGAGTAGTTGATAAATATACTAAAAACTTGTTAAACACGAATAAAAATAAGTGCTGTCTGCAAAAGAATACTCTACTTTGGTTAAACTAGAAATGTTGGTGGAAAGATGTGAACTCAAATCTCAAAATTTCTAAAAGGGAAAGGAGAAGGCAAATTAAAGTAGAGACAGGAGGGGGCCATAGCCCCCACAGCTTAAGTACTATGAAATTAACAAGTAACTAGAAGAGAGAGACAAGGAATCTTTCTGGTGGCATTTATTTAGAATACTTCCCCAATTAAGTGATGGAATGTTTAGTAATCTAAATTAGGAAATTTGGTCGTGAGTTTTGAGCTTCGTTTAATCATTAGTTGATAGTTTGTCCTAATTAAGGCCCACATAATTGGGTCAAGATTAGTACAAATGGAACCACTCTAATGTTGGTTTAGGTTTAGGTAGCTTCTACTATTTTTTGTATTCATAACCTCTCGTACCTTCATCCAATAACCTTTTTCCTTTTTTCTTCCTTATTACTGTATCCCGTTTTCTAAGTTGTTGCGACTTGTTTGCCCGAGCCGAGGGTCTATAGGAAACAACCTCTTTACTTACATATATGGGTGTATGCATCTTATATCATGCGGTATCATGGGATATCACTTCATCGAATTTTTCACTAGATATTTATAAGAAAAATAATAATATCGGGGATACATTTAGGAAATGACACCGCCTGTCATTTCATTTTTATTTCTTTAAATTATGATACCTTATGCAAAATCCTGTATTTGTCACTGCATGCATAAGGTAGGGGTAAAGTCTGCGCATACACTACTTTCTTCGAACTCCACTAATGGAATTATACTAGGTATGTTGTTATTGTTTCGGGAAAATGTATAGGGATGGGGACCACTTTTTTGGTTTTGTCTTTATCTTTTGATCTTGTCCAAACCTCACCCTACACGGCCTTATAAAGCAAATCAAACCTCTCCTTTCAACTTCTCACTTGGCTTATTCTTATCATTGTAGAAAGTACGTAGGCAAGTGAAGGAGCTAGGTTAATATAGCTAGAAAAAGTAATGTCTAGCAGTAGAAGATCAAGTTCAAGATTCAGTCAAGATGAGATTAATGATCTCGTCTTGAAACTGCAATCTCTCTTGCCAAATTCCTCTTCACATTGCACCTCGAGGGTACGTACGTCGTCCTATATTTATTATCTTTTCTATTATATATTTACTTTTTTTTTCTTTTTTCCTTTTCCTATAGTCTAGTTCTTTGCCATCATAATGGTAGACAGTGTGCAGCATAGGACTATTGTCATTAATTTTTCTTACTTGAATGCACAATCTATTTAATTGCCGCTAGTGTAAATTTACAGCTGCATGTGGAAACAATGAAGAGAGATAAGAAAGACCTACACATACATATATGGTTATCAAAGTAAGCAGAAACTACGAAATAACACGTATTAATTTTGTTAAGTAAGTCATTAAAAGTGGTGATTATTAAGCTCACACAGATATAATACATGTATAGAAATGTTTTACCAAATGTGTCGTTGGATTGTCCTACAATTTTTCTTAAGAAAATGAATTGTTGTCTCTTAAAATGGTCCGATCGCCTCATATGAGTTAAATTTTGGGTTTAACTTAGGCCTAAGGTTCGTTTTCTTCACATGGTGTAAGAGTAAGATCCTTCCCTATTCTTGATTTATCTAACATTGAGCCCCATGTTATATTGTTTATCCAGATGTCCAACCCTGCGCGTGCAAAGGAGTAGTAGATTGTCTTACATTGGATTGATATATAGTTAGGCTATTGTCTCCTAATATGATATTTTAGACAATTACGAACCTTCAAAATATATAGGCTCAATGTGTCCATTTGCTTAACAAAAAATGCGCCAAGGTAATTTTGTTAAATCCCAACAGAGATTTAGCTACATGTTACGAGCAAAGAGTGTCTTATGGATCATTACCTCATTAACTACCAAACTTTTTAAGATGTTTTTACTTTTCCTTTAACTTTTGAAAGGTACCAGCACCAAAGATACTAGAGGAGACGTGTAATTACATCAGAATGCTGCACAATGAGGTGGATGATCTCAGTGAGAGGCTCTCCCAAATACTGGCTTCTGTGGACACAAATACTGTTGATGTTTTAGACACTTTAATAAGTCTTCTTCAACAGTAAAACCATCCTTCCCTAACAAAAAAGAAAGTAAACCCCAGGGGTATAGGCATCTTTGAGTATTGTATTAATTAGTAGATCCTTTAGATTAGTATTTTATTACCATTTCGTGCTTCACTAAGTTACATTCCCTGCGCCTCCTTGGTTGGTACCTAGAGTTTTATACGTGTCGCAAATATATATCTTATGTCTCGTTATATATTGTGGATATAAGTTATGCTTAATTGGTGTATTTGATTCATGTTGGTAATTCTGAAATAAAAGCATCCGATAGGGTCCCACGGGAAAAATGTGGCTAATCTTGGATTTTCTGGTAAAGTGTGATGATGTAATGATTGGACATGATTTATGAAGTTCAATGTTACCTCCGGTTCATAATAAGTGATCTATTTTTTTTTATTTTGGTCTAAAATAAATGTCCATTTATATAATCAAGAAAAAATTTGATTTGCTTTTTCCAAAATTACCCTTAAGTACGTATCCCTAAAAAGTCACTTACTCCTCACATATGAGAAGAGAAGCAAGTGTTTTTAAGTGTAATTTTCTCACAAGTACTTTTTCAAAAAGTAACTTTGGGGGAAATCTACTTTTTTCCACTTATCATGCTTCAACTCATAAGTATTTTTTTCCTTCTAAAAGTTTGGTCAAATATTTTAACTTTAGTAAAAAATACTTTTGATCAAAAAGAAACTTTGCCAAACATGATAGTGCAGAGGAATATATGCAAATGCAACTGCAGTATTCATTAAAGATCAGGAAATCATATGAGGCCACGAGAGTATTTCTCGTGATTTCTCATCTAGTGTATCAAATGGATCCTTGGGACACCATCTCTGTTAATACCATACATAATTCAAAATTTAAAGTCATAGGTAGTAAATCTGTTGACTCCGTTTGCGTCTGAATTTAAAAACAGATTTTGGATATTATAATTTGTATTTATTTCTGGTAGAGCAAGAGCAAAGGGTCCATCAAAAAAAGAAGAGCCAATTAAGGGTGAAGGAGTTACTCCAAGAGAGACACTCATGATAGAAATTATAAATTCTACGTATTATTTAAAGCTCCATCTTTATAGTGTGGCCTTTAAACTTGTCTTCAATTCCACTCTGATTATTGTGATGTTAAATTAAAATATATATATATATATATATATATATTGTCTTCAATTCATATGGAACGACTTTTTCTCTTTTCTATACTTGTACTTTTTGAAATTCACCAATAAAGCGAACTCAGAATCGATCCATGTTCCTTTGAATAAATTACTTAGCATTAAACCAAGTACAGCATTCAAACATTTTGGAACATGGAGGCCAACATATAATATTAGTTCAATTTTACGAAATATATACATAAAATACTTAGTTTAGCAGAAAGATCATGGGTTCACGTGCACCATAAAAAGGGCCTAAATCAGCCCCTGATGACGATGTCGAATTGTTACATAAGCTTCACCCCTCTTATCACCCTTACCCCCGATCCAAAGAAATTGACAAAATAGAAAGAAAGAAATTGCAGAATCATATTGTTACTGGCTTAAAACTTAATTTTAATCTTTTGGGGAAAAAAAATCGTGTGATCTAAGAAGAAAAGTAATTGGAACGACTAAAAAATTGGTTAAACAAACGACTTTATGCTACTTTGCCTGCAAATACTATGGAGAATTCCAGTCTGATAAGGAAAATTTGGCTTGAATTCGTAATAATATTGGTTGCAATCAGGAAAGAATGATTGCTCTTAATCACATAGTAGCAAATACACTTCGGCCTTTTGTCACGAGAGGGAAGGGACGAAGTAGGCAAAGGAAAATCATGACCCTAAAAAGTGAATACAGAACAAAACTCATTGGTCCAGTAACGTGCTCTTTCTTTCAGTCTGGTAAATATAGTAGTAGCATGAGGAAAATGAACCCCTCTTTCAGCTTCGGCTCTTTTTCTTCTCCTTTTCTCTTTTGATATAGTCTATTTATCTTGAGCACTAGTAAGCTTTATGTTTAGCTTTTTCCTGGGAGATAAAAGGAGTTGATCTTGATCAAGGTGAAAGGATTTAAGAATTCATACCGGTTCAAGGGAAAAGGCAAGAAACTTTCAATAGCACCTCTAACACAATATTTGCTTCAGATCAATAAATATATTACAAGTGTCTTTACACATGGCTTTATCTCTTACAATTAATATATACTTTCATCTCAATTTATTATTCAATTATAAACTTGGTGCAATACCGAAAGTGAGAAAATTTGTTTTTCAGCGCGCGCTAGAAACAAGCTCAACCGAAGCTACACAAGTCAGAACCCAAACTAGCGACCAAATGCTTTAAACACATTTGTGGGCTGTGGCTAAAGGATACAGCAACCGGCGTTGCAAAATTCTTTATCTTATAGTGGGAATGGTCGTCTTTCTCATTCTATTTGACTTATAATAAAAGATCTTTACAATGTCTCCATGTAAATTTAAACACTTATGGGATAAAAATTACTCCATCGCTCATTTTATATGATTGGATATGAAGTTGAAGATGTTAATTGTATTAGTGATAGTCAAAGAAAATCTTAATAAAATGATCAAAATGTGGTTTTAAAAGAGAAAACATCAACTCAAAATTTACATTTTACTATAACTAGTTTGATGAATTTACACCAGCAATAATAAATAAGACACAATAAAAAGAAAAAGGTACAAGGTGTTCAATTGAAATGTCAAGCTTGAAGCCTCAATGCAAAGTGATACCAAACTTTTGAAGAAGGCTAGGCATATTACTGAGAATTGCTAAGGTGTTACTCATGTACTCTTTAGCATTCTGCACCCGCGCTTTCACTTCCCCAACCAACGGCGATCCCATTTCATCCAGTCCCTCCAAACACGTGTCCTGATCAGTCATTGAAGCGCTGATCCATGTTTGCATGTCCTTCACCTTCTTATCCGTCAAAGCCTTTTCACCGGGGCCCACTTGGAGCAACTCGGCCGACTGGTTGAGTTGACTCAGCGCGTCATCGAACAAACTGACACAGTCCTTCAACGCCGACACTGTTCCCGGGTCATTGACTTTCGAGATCAGCGATTTCGGGAGCGAAGAAACGTTGGTTAATTCTCTAATTGTTGCTTGAAGGGAAAGGTTCAGGAATGGTTCCGGGTCGGGTTTTTGTGGGCTGCTGTGGAGGGAGGATATGGAGTCAAAGCATGACTCTGGATACTGAGTCACTGCGCACACGGCTTTGAGCAAATCGGCCGAGTTGGATGATACAGATGGTGTTCGGTCTTTGGAATTTGACGCGTGGATAAACGCGCCGACCAATGCGCAGATGAGTAGAGTTAGGAAGAGGGTGAGAGAGAGGGCGATGGCGAGGCGGCGCTTGTGGGCGGCTCTGCGAGTAGACAAAGAAGAAGCTGGATCTTCTGAAAGGTTAATTTTGCCATAGCCTTTGACTAAGTTCATAGATTCCATAGAAATGAAAGGGAAAGAGAATTGAGCAAAGAGGGAGGAAAAGTTGCAAGACACGGTTTGAGGACTTAGATAAGAATTTGGGTGGGTATACTCTGCGGGCAAATGTTAACTGTAAGCACGTCCTGCTCTTTTTCTTTTCATTAAATAAATTTGCCGACAAATCAAAAATTATACTACTAACAATTGATGACGAATTTATATTATTAAGGCCGATTACATACGGAGACACTTAAAGTTGACACGATCTTTCATTTAGACATCTGAACTTAAGAGAGTTCCTATTTAGCACGTACGTTAGATGAACTTTGTTCCAATTAAACACTTCTTGCTGAGTTGGCATATAGAGTGAGTTTTACCCAATATGGGCGCGTGAAAAGCCCAAAAAACAAATTATTCTTTTTTGTTTTTTTATTTCCTTCTTCTTCTTTATGTCCACCACCATTTCCACCATTGTCTCCTCCACTTTCCGTCATCTTCTCCGACTTATTTTCCTCTTCTTCTTTCGAATCTCATACCAGATTCAAATTCAGCCGAAAACGAAAAGTTCAATACATTAGTACTTTCTTCAAAAATGTCATATAAAATACAGTAGTACTTAGAAGCACAATGAATGGAAATAGCAGAGATTCTTATTGGAAAGGAATATGACAGTGCTGAAGCATAATGACATTTGTTTGTTTGTTATCAAGTCCTTATTTGTTTGCCAAGGAAAAGTTCTTGGCAGAGATTCTTGGCTATTTTCATTCCTTTTAGAACTGAAATGAAGAAGAAGAAGAAGAAGAAGCAAAATGAATGGAAATAGCTTGAACTTTTCCAGTGAAAGCCAAGAATATCATTGTGCTTCAGCATACCCAAAATGAACCAATCTCACTCAAATCTTCACCAAATGATTTAAAACTTGAAATGAAAACTCTAAACAATATCAATACCAAGCCCAGTGATCAATTCGAACAAACAACCGCAAAATCAAAAGACCGAAGTTCGTCTTCTTTGTCAAACAATCAGTTCAAGTTTTGAACCCAAAACCCTAGAAAAGCAGTTCAAATCAAAGCTCAAATCTTCAGACCTCACCTCGTATCAGCGTTTACAACCAAAAACTCGAACACCCAGCCAACTTCGAACCCTAATTTTCAGATTTTCAAAAAACCCAAGTACGAACTTTTCCGGTGAAATCTAAGAATTTTGCAAAATTTTGCATTTGTTCTGTTCGATTTGGAACCCTGAAACTCCATTTCCGGCAATGTGGCCTAGAATTAAACCAAGCCATGGTTATGAGAGTACTTTGTTTTGCAGATGAAGATGGAAAAGAAGGGGGGTGAGAGTCGTTGGGGAAGATGACGAAGGGGAGGGGTGGGTTGAGATTCTTGTTTTTCTTTTATTCTTTTTCATTTTTCTAAAGTCTTTTTTTAATTGTTAATAAATCCATGTGTCTCTATCTTATTGGTTACCCTGGCGTGTGAATTTCACGCATCTATTACGTATGGATGCCTAAAAATTTTGTGTCTAAATGACACAGTAAATACATGGTTAAAATGTTCAAATGAAACAAACTTTAGATGAAGTGTCTAAATGAAAGATCGTGCCAACTTTAAGTGTCTCCGTATGTATTCGGCCTATTATTAATTATTGTACTACTCCATCTGGATAGTAGCAATTTTATGTTTAAAATGATATTTACATATTTAATACCAACATTATATTTAGAATATATTTGAAATATAGTTTGTCTGTTAATATATAAAAGAGCTATATAAGACGAGACAGGTGGCAACAATTATAAGTTTTCTGTTGTCTTATTGTTAACTCTTGTTTTTCTTAAATTTTGTATTTGAAATTTATACTAGTTAAGTATATTATTTGTAGGTAAATTGAATGTCGGTGCTAACATAATCGTTAAAAAGTAACCTAATTGTGCTTCTTGATTGATGATATGCGAGGCAGTATTAATACGAGGTTAGAGGTTTAGAGGCAGACCCTTGAGTTTAAAGGTTTTAAGTTAAGCAGGATCAAGACCAAATACTTGGAGTGCAAGCTCAATGGAGCGGATCAGGAAGCAGACGAGGATGTGAGGTTGGATTCACAAGTCATCCCTAGGATAGAAAGTTTCAAGTACCTGGGTCAGGTATACATGAGAATGTGGAGATTGACGAGGATGTCACACATTGTATCGGGGAGGGGGAGGGTAAGCTAGAGGCTCGTTTCCGATATTTTGTGTGATAAGAATGCTACCTACACTTAAAGGTAAGTTCTATAGAGCAATGATCAGACCGACAATGTTGTACGGGGATGAGTGTTGGACGGTCAATAACTCCCATGTCTAGAAGATGAAGGTGACAGAAATGAGGATGTTAAGATGGATGTGTGGGCACATCTGGTTAGATAAGATTGGGAATAAAGTAATTTGGGACAAGGTAGGAATGACTCCGGTGGAGGACAAGAAGCGAGAAACGAGAGTTAGATGACTCGCACATGTAAAGAGGAGAGGCGTTGATGCCCAAGTAATTAAGTAGGTGTGAGAAGTTGGTCTTGGAGGGCTTACCAAAAGGTAGGCGTAGGCCAAAGAAGTATTGGGAGAGGTGATTAGGCAAGACATGGGCAATGCTCCAGCTCATCGAGGACATGATCCTTGATAGGAAGGTGTGGAGGTCGAGAATTAGGGTAGAAGGTTAGGTAGTTGAGCGTCTTCTTCGTTCATACCAGTAGTTTTAGTGCTCTATTTAGTGTTAGTCTTGTATTTCTTATTCTTAAATTTCTGTTATTACTTGTTGGTTCTTGCGCTTTGGTTTCTTATTGCTTTGCTGGTATTGCTGCTTATTGTTATTCTCTGTTTTTTATCTTTAATGAGCCTTTTTTCTTCTTTACCTTTGTATCTTTTCATAACCAAGTGTCTATCGGAAACAACCTCTTTATTTTCTCTAGGCAGAGGTAAAAGTTGTGTACATATTACCGTTATCGACCCCACGTGTAGGATCACTAGGTTTGTTGTTGTTATTATTATTGAGTTGTAATGAAAAGTAAAGGAAATGTTATTGTTATTATTGTTTTTTTTTTTGGTTTCCTATCGGGTGTCTAGTACCCGCAATGGAGCCCGACTACGTAGGTCCCTATTTGGGGGGAAGCTCTCCCTATCAAGAATTTTTTCATATCCAGGGATCGAACTTGAGACCTCTGGTTAAGGGAAGAGCAATCTCATTTACTGCACCACATCCTTTGGGGGTAAGCTAGAGGCTCGTTCCGATATTTTGTGTGATAAGAATGCCACCAACACTTAAAGGTAATTTCTATAAAGCAATGGTCAAACCGACTATGTTGTACGGGGATGAGTGTTGGACAATCAAGAACTCCCATATCTAGAAGATGAAGGTGGCAGAAATGAGGATGTTAAGATGGATGTGTGGGCATATATGGTTAGATAAGATTAGGAATAAAGTTATTCGGGACAAGGTGGGAGTGACTCCGGTGGAGGACAAAATGCGGGAAGCGAGAGTTAGATGACTCGCACATGTAAAGAGGAGAGGCGTTGATGCCCAAGTAATTAAGTAGGTGTGAGAAGTTGGTCTTGGAGGGCTTACCAAAAGGTAGACGTAGGCCGAAGAAGTATTGGGAGAGGTGATTAGGCAAGACATGGCAATGTTCCAGCTCATCGAGGACATGATCCTTGATAGAAAGGCGTGAAGGTCGAGAATTAGGGTAGAAGGTTAGGTAGCTGAGCGTCTTCTTCGTTCATACCAGTAGTTTTAGTGCTCTATTTAGTGTTAGTCTTGTATTTCTTGTTCTTAGATTTCTGTTATTACTTGTTGGTTCTTGCGCTTTGGTTTTCTGATTGCTTTGCTGGTATTGCTGCTTATTGTTATTCTCTGCTTTTTATTTTTCATGAGCCTTTTTTCTTCTTTACCTTTGTATCTTTTCTGAACCAAGTGTCTATCGGAAACAGACTCTTTATTTTCTCTAGGCATAGGTAAAAATTGTGTACACATTTCCCTTATCGACCCCACGTGTAGGATCACTAGGTTTGTTGTTGTTATTATTATTGACTTGTATTGAAAAGTAAAGGAAATGTTATTGTAATTATTGTTTTTTTTTGTTTCCTATCAGGTGTCCAGTACTCGCAGTGGAGCCCAACTATATTCGAATTCACGCCGTGTAGATCCTTATTTGGGAGGAAGCGCTCCCTACCAAGAATTTTTTCATATCCAGGACTCGAACCCGAGACCTCTGGTTAAGGGAAGAGCAGTCCCATTTACTGCACCACATTCTTTGGTGGTTATTGTTATTGTTGTTGTTATAGCCTAGAGGAATTTTTTTTCCCTGTTCAAATTTCAAAAACTTAGCCATGTCCTTGATTGAAAATTAAACTTTGGACTATTCAATGAAATGAAAAAGGTAATTATAATGTTTAGTTCAATTTGGTTGGAAGGAAAATTTTACTTGTGTGATATTCCCTAAATAACTTGAAGTTTACTCTGTTATTTTACAAATGAAACAACAGCGTAACAATAAATACCCATATCATTTTATTCATAATTCCAAAACTCAAAGAGTGACGAACCACGTACTACATAAACTATATCAAATTGAATCACATACGTAGTATCACCATACACGTAAAAGCAGACATACCAAAATCAGCAAGAAAATAAACTGCAATCCAAAAACACATACGGTGCCCACGAAGTCATTATCCGACAGAAATAAAGCTAAGGTGCTTTTCCCCGAGCGTTGAAATAAATCAAAACCCAGGACACTAGTAATCGATGGGTTAAATATCTCATTAATCTTGTTCATATTAGCCAGAATCATTAAGCTATTGCTTGCGTTTTTCGTATCCAATTCCTTCTCGTACTCCAACCAATACAAGCAACTCCCAATTTTGGGTCTTTCAGTTTCGAGCCAGCTCATCATTTCAGATCTCAAAGATATCTTTACTGTCAAATTTTTCTTGTTGATAATCGCCAAATAACTGTTCAGTTGACTCACTGAACTGTTGAACATAGATTCGCATTGACTTGGAGTTGACTGATCATTACGGAAAATGTTCGATTTGAGAAACGAAGTGAATTTATTGAGCTCGTTGATTGCAGTATGAAGAGATAAGGAGAATATCTGAGATGAATCGATTGCTGTTGATGATAATTGGTTATTTTTGTAGAGGGAATTAGACATGTACCTGAAGCAATCCTGGTAGTACGGAGTCAGGGAGCAAATGGATTCGATTGCCTTGTGTGGGTTATTGGCAGGTGACTCAGATTCATAATCTCGCTTAATCATCGTTAAAACAGAGATAATGGCAGCGAATATTAGGATGAAAAAGATGATTAAAGCGATAAACAACTTGAGGTGCTGCTGTCTTCTTCTTGAGTACGTTTGAGTATTCAAAATAAGGCTATCTTTAACTGATGTCTTTGAGATTTTGTTGGCGGAGAATGATTCCATGGTTAGAATTGAAATCTTGAGGTTTTTTCTGGGTAAGTGAAAATATGGTGCTGAGATAGTGCTAAATTGTGAGCGGCCAGAGACTTGGTCACTCTTCCTTTATGTCAAGAAGTCAAGTAGGAAATACTTTATTGATGGAGAGAAAATTTTATTTTGTGTATCATACGGCTGATACTTGTTGTATGAGTCTAACTTTTTTGTCTAACAGTTTTGTGGATCCAGATTTTAAGATTGAGTTCCATAAATTTGTGATACTAGTTGTATGAGTCAACTTTTTTGTCTCACAGTTTTGTGGATCCAGAAGTGTAAGATTGGGGTCCATAAATTTGTGAGACAAAAAACAACCTCATACAACTAATGTAAGTTGTATGAGACACAAAATAAAACTTTTCAAATTGGGTAATTTTATTTTGTAATCTATTTTTTTTTGTAACAATGTGAATATTACCATTAACAAACCAAATTAATACGCCCATAGAGCACTTATTTCCATAACCACCTTCTAGGAACGGTACTCTGAACAATAAGCCTCCGACAGTAGCTAATTACAAATATGCAGAACTACTTTAATTCAACATGTATTCTAGGTACTAAGTATTCTATGTAAAAACTCTCTACTCCTATGTGCTTTTTTTGACGATCTAAGTACTTCTATTCTCTGTACAATTTCTCTCTTTATCTGTGTTGCTACTTCTGCTGGTTGTAGTATAGCACCCTTAAACACTTTGTAATTCCGAGCTCGCCAGGTCTGGTATGTCATGGTTCCCCAAACTGCTGCTATCACTTCCTTTTGTAATTCTTTCCCGTGCTTCCTCTTGATACATTCCAACACCTGTTTCAGCTCTCCAGCGGGAACCTGAACATTTATCCATTAAGTTCAACTCTCAAAAAGCTGTGATCCAATTACAGTCCACAAACAAATGCGTACTCGTCTCCATAACCTGATTGTTACATAAGCAGCAATTGGAATTCTCTACTGATATGTGCAATTACTCATGTTATTTTAGTTATATGACAGATCTGTAAAATAATACAAAATCTTTAATTTGTAGAGTTATTTTTTTAATTCATATTGTAAGTGAATATAGGAAACTATTAATTGACCATGCCAAAAATTATCAGCAACGATCCATTATTTTGACGACCAGAAAGAAAAAGCTTCTTTCATCTCACTTTTTGGAATTAATTAAACATGTCACAGCAACGGAAAATTGACAATTGGAAAACCAGCAATTAACTACGAACAACTGGATAGCATAATTATATTTTCATCTCTTGTAATTGGAAGTAAACAAGCTGGCAATCTCTGAAGGTAAAAAACATAGAACTAAATGGATATCAATATATACGTAACAACAGGCAAAAAAGAAATACCAAGAGCAAATACTCAAAGCAAAAGAGCCAAGCAGTTAGCCCATATTCAAATTCCAAAACTAAAGAGCCTAATGCTATTCCTATTCTTGGATAAAACAGGTCGAAAATGTCATCCACTTTTAGCAATATTCCTCTACTGTTCCTCATGCTTTGCTGGGCTGCATTAATATTCACCGCAACCGTCGAAGGAACGTCCTCCAATAAGTCAACACACCTTTGTACTTGACCCTGGGCCACCCCAATCCACCGTTGCAAATCCCAAACAACTTTATTAATTGTCAGGATTTTCTCATCTGGGTCAACGCCCAAACTCACTACTGATTCATTGAGTTGCTTTAGAGAGAATCTAATCATTCCTTGGCAATTTCTCAAGGCACCAACAGTCTTGGGGCTGACTGAAATTATCTTTTCAATTGAGGAAGCGACATTCTCAAGCTCGATTCTTGAAGCATAAAGCGAAAGAATAAAGATTCGAGATGGGTTAATTCTAGAATCTCCATTTGACCAAGATGATAATAATGGGATTTGGGCATCGTAAAGTGAAGCAATAGAGTCAAAGCATGAGTCCGGATCTTGGCTGATGAGTTCACAGACTGCTGTAATAGCGTTTGTTGGGTTAAAGGACAGTGATTTGGACTCTGTTTTTTGTTTTAGTATTACTGAAGCAGAGATGATAGCAGCAATTATGAGCGGGAAGAGAGTTACCAGACAGATTATCAAACGTAGTTTCCTTTTGGTTCTTGAAGAGGACTGATCTTGCACATGGCTTTCCTTGTAGTTGTTACTGAATGATTCATCCATCTTGTTTCTTTCCAAACTTTTGGAAAATTTTCGAAGCTAAATTTGGAAGTAACAGGAGTGAAGACCGAAGATGTTTTTTTAATTGCTGAGGTCAAAGCCAAGAAGCTGTTGAGAACGAGGATCTATTTTTGATACTCCGATCGCTTAATGGAATCCTGCGAGATAACAGCTCTACTGATGTTCAATACCAAATCGTTAGTTGAAGGAATTTTTATTAACGAGGATTCCTAGACTTTTATTTGTCTCGAGAGAGTTCTATGCTATATGTTGTAGACAGGTGTAAATGTGTAAATACATGGATGATCCCTGTTGTTCTTGTATATGTACAAGAAGAAAAAGAAAATAAAATATTTTCAGGCATTTCCCTGTCTTGTTGAGAGCCAATTCTACGGGAGGACAAATAGAGAGAAAGAAAAAAGAAAATTGCGCTGTAGAGGAGTATAAATTTGTTTTGAGCTAAAGTTCAAGGTTTCAATCGCGAGAAAAAGAGCTCTAATTCCAAATTTTGTCTTATTATTTGAAAGACTAGGGGTTGCTCTAATGGTAAGCAACCTCCACTTCCAACCAAGAGGTTATGAGTTCGAGTCTCCCCAAGAGCAAGGTGAGAAGTTCTTGGAGGGAAGGATGCCGGCTGTTTTCAAAGCCTCAGACCCCACTACCCTTAGGGGTAAGGTTTGCGTACACACTACCCTCCCCAGACCCCACTAAGTGGGATTATACCGGGTTGTTGTTGTCGTCTTATTATATTTGAAAGTGAGATTGTGATAGCTTAAGTTGTAGATGCACGGGGAGAACCGAATATGAGGCTGAAACTCAAAACATGAGCTTAAGTTAGAATAAACGACGGCGTTGCTGACATATTTACAGGACTTCTTTACATGAGGTCTTTTCATTACAGCGACACTAATTACACCCATAACCTAAGATCACGCACAAGATTACACTCATCAAAGCTGAGGAAAAAATGAAAAAGAAAAGGAAGAACCTAAAAAATTTAATCAGTGCTTGACACTAGTTTGAAAGCTCTCATAGCCAAGCTCCCCATCCAGGAAACAGATGACACAAACGATCAGGATCAATGGCGTCGTGTATGAGTTGTTGAACCTGCAAAAAGGGGGGCACTTATCACCTCTTTCCTTTCTTTTATGCAACATAGATTGAGATACCAATGGGAAATTCAAGTTTGAGTAAAAGTAAAGTATGCGTCTTAGAAGCACAGTACCCTATCAGCCAATTCTAGGGTTGTCTATTCAAGTAATAGAACTACCTCCTCACTTGCCTGGACTTGTACTGTTTCAATATTATTTCAAGACACTGCTATCTTTGTTAATCTTTCTTTTCTAACTAGCACTCAAGATAAGTTTAGTTTCATTACAAAAATGCCTCCGCTCTTCCAAAAAATAGTAAAAATAAAGGAGACCAATCTAAACCCATATAGCTATTGGAAAGAATTTGCTGATCAATTTCAGTCAAGAGAGAAAGCAAATAAAGATAATTAGAGTTGCCTGAACCTGAAAGCACAATTTCTGAAAAGAGCATTCATATAGTAGTGTGTATTATTTGTGTAGAAGGTAAAGAATGATGCTCTCAAGTTTAATTAAACAAAGAGCAATAAGACATATCACTGGGCTAGCAGGGATTAAAATTAATAATCAGATTAATAATTTATTAGTGTATAGTGTGTGCGAATTGATGCCTTATTCCGGTTAACAGATTACCTGCCCATGAACACTTCTCATTTCACCTTCTTCATATCCATCTAACTTTTGTTTAACACGCATCAAGGCTCTAGCAGCATCCTTGTTCCCCTCATAGTCATCTTGTTGAGAGTCTTCCAAACTGGTTTCCAGATCATCTTCACTTTCCTAACAAGCAGAAATAGTTCAATAAGCCTTTGTAAATGCGAAGATGAACATTATTATACCTTCTTCAGATATCAACCAGTTCATATATACACGCATTTTAAGTTTGAATTGTAAAAACATGACTACAGGCTATTCTAATGGGAACTGGGTAGTAAGTCAAGTGCTTTACGATAGTAAGACAAGAACTTGCTTCTAGCTAAAACTAGTTTCACCACCTATAAACTAATGGGCTCCTACAAAACTGAGTGTACTTTGGAACAGAGCAGTATGAGGTCTTGACTTGCTCATACTCAGCCGTTCAATTAGTTTTACGCCTCCGCATGCCACATACTTTCTGACAAGTCTGTTCGAAACCAAAATTTTCAAATTAGGAGTGGTATCAAGGACTAATGTTAAATTTGGGCATTATGAAAGTTGGATTTTGTTTACTTATTCGAGGAAAAAGAAGAGTGTTGGATTTATCCCATCTCATTGAACTTCACAAGCAAAAACACTACTTAGATAATGTAGACACTTATTTAATATACAAAATTCAGGTTCAAAATGCATATGCATGTCTCACCAGCTGTAATGTCCAAGACAACCCACACAACAATACTTTTCTGGTTGCTCCTTCAGACAGAGACAGGTGCATATGCATTGTGGATAATATGCCTATAAATGTCACATTAATGGAAGTGGAATGACAGTCTAGGTCACAAAACAAAACCAGAATCAGGGTTTTCGTACAAGTTAGCAAAAAGCGTGCTTTCATATGTAATGACCAATAACCTATGTTAAGCATATCTGCAAATATATAGATTAGCACTTTAAAAATATTATATATATCAATTAGGAAGATCCATTGCAGGTGCACCATGTCAAATTATTGATATCCATTCTAAGCAAGACTCCTAAATTGATAAAATCCCATACATTCAAGAATCACAGAGAATGACATTTCATCAGTAATGTTTTTTACCACTTTTACCTTGTATCTTAAATGAACTTTTGACTTTCAGTTTTCTTAATGAATATGACACTAACATTGCAAGTGGACCTCAGAAAAGGATAAACGCCATCATTGATATACCTTCTGACGTTGCAAAGCCTTTAGAGGGGATAAAGCCCACTTGTATAAAGGATCATGGATAAAGACCTGCAGCAAAGGTCTGTAAGTATGACTGACGGACACAGTTTAAACTCCTAATGTGGTAGGCATAGGCATCTGAAATGCGGTACCTCGATAATGGTAAGCAGTGCTTCTTTGTTTGTCCGCATAACAGACAGGGTTTCCTCACAGCATCTTCTAAAAACCCCTTCCACCCCAGTTACGCCCATGCCATCAATAATGTCCCTACTCAGCCTGAAGGGTACCTGCAATAGATCATTATGGATGACCATTGAGATACAGGCTGAAGAAATTTAAACAATGACATGATCTTATAAAAACAAAAGAGTGACATAGGATATGTGAGAGTATGAGTGAAAAGATTAGGAATGCAAGAAGACAAGTGACTTCAACCTAAGTTCTTTTGTAGATACCCTATATAGCGTATATAAAAAATCCATCCAATGTGGGCCACTAATACATATTTACACATCTGATTAACTTTTCTTTATGAATATGACCAACTTTAATATAACTAATCTAACAGAACAGAAGTACTCAAGGTTGAAATAAACAAACCCTTTCGGGAGTTTTCAGCATAAGGCCCTGCTCAAATGCAACCCCAAGATCTATGTGAACAACTTCTGCAGTGGCTTGATCTACAAGGATATTCATGGAATGCCGATCTCCTAGTCCAACAATATATCCGACCTGAATGTAAAAGAAGTATGAACATTCAAAACTACTAGATAAATCAAGATCTTGACATTAAATATCTAGCAAGAACTTAAGCTCAAACACAGTTCTCTAATTTCTGTTTATGATTACACAATTTCTTTTCTGGTTTACTAGGAAATATTTGAAGAGAGGGAACTGTTTCGGGAAGTTGCTAAATCACTGGAAGAAGTACCATTGAACTTGCGGCCACGCTTCTGGTATAAGCAAGCCTCTTTTGAAACCAGTCAGCTGGATGAAAAAATCTCTCCAAGAAAAAGTGATGCATGACAGGCCTGCAGCGAAGAAAATTAGATAGCTCAAACAACTTGAGCTCAAGGTCTTATGGAAGGTGAGTAATACCTGACGTTTTTTTTTTTGATGAAGTAATATGTTTCATTAAGAAGGCATCAAGAAGATGCAAAGTTACAAGAGGCATATGAGCTAAATAAACAAAAAATTACAGGAGAACATTGTTTACCCCAAAACAAAGTCTCAATCTAGGACAACAGAGCTAATAAAGTCCAAAAGGTGTCCTGTACTATTTACGGGGGACAACTTTGTCCAGAAAAAAAGGTTGAGCTGGCATTTAGATTTGAGTAAGTGGTTCGAGGTTGAGGTGTCATCAAAGCATCTACTATTCCTCTCGTTCCATAAACACCAAAAAATAGTTGCAGGGATCATAAGCCAGATCTTCTTGATAACCTTATCAACCTCCCAAAGACTTCAGCTCATATGTGCCTCTCTCAGGGTCTGTGGCATTACCCAGCTTAGACCAAAAATACAAAAGAACATGTTCCATTGGTCTGTGGCTACTAGCAGTGTAGAAGTAGGTGACTAACTGTTTCCTAGTGTCTCCTGCAAAGGTAACATCTGTTGACCAGCTGAAATCCCCTTCTGCATAGGTTATCTTGCGTTAAGCAGGCTTCGTGAAGGGCAATCCAGTTGAAGCATGTCACCTTCACAGGTAACTTTGTTCTCCATATCAGTTTCCAAGGCCATGAATGCAATACCTGATTCTGATTGTTAAGTTGCATGTAGCAATCTTTAACAGTATAAAGACCTTTACATCCCCATCTCATACTGTCTGGAGCATTCTCATGAATGTTGTAGGCCTCTAATCTTGCTAGCATTTCCATCAAATCTTCTATCTCCCAATCTTGAACAGATCTTCTGAGTTGCACATTCCAATTATCATTTGCTCTGTTATGAGCAATAGAAGAATTCTTGTCCAAGGCAATGTTGAATAAGCTAGGATAGTCCTCCATGAGAGGAGTGTTGTTTAGCCATTTATCTTTCCAAAACTTAATATGACATCCACTGCTTGGTTCGAGGTTGAGGTGTCATCAAAGCATCTACTATTCCTCTCGTTCCATAAACACCAAAAAATAGTTGCAGGGATCATAAGCCAGATCTTCTTGATAACCTTATCAACCTCCCAAAGACTTCAGCTCATATGTGCCTCTCTCAGGGTCTGTGGCATTACCCAGCTTAGACCAAAAATACAAAAGAACATGTTCCATTGGTCTGTGGCTACTAGCAGTGTAGAAGTAGGTGACTAACTGTTTCCTAGTGTCTCCTGCAAAGGTAACATCTGTTGACCAGCTGAAATCCCCTTCTGCATAGGTTATCTTGCGTTAAGCAGGCTTCGTGAAGGGCAATCCAGTTGAAGCATGTCACCTTCACAGGTAACTTTGTTCTCCATATCAGTTTCCAAGGCCATGAATGCAATACCTGATTCTGATTGTTAAGTTGCATGTAGCAATCTTTAACAGTATAAAGACCTTTACATCCCCATCTCATACTGTCTGGAGCATTCTCATGAATGTTGTAGGCCTCTAATCTTGCTAGCATTTCCATCAAATCTTCTATCTCCCAATCTTGAACAGATCTTCTGAGTTGCACATTCCAATTATCATTTGCTCTGTTATGAGCAATAGAAGAATTCTTGTCCAAGGCAATGTTGAATAAGCTAGGATAGTCCTCCATGAGAGGAGTGTTGTTTAGCCATTTATCTTTCCAAAACTTAATATGACATCCACTGCTTGGTTCGAGGTTGAGGTGTCATCAAAGCATCTACTATTCCTCTCGTTCCATAAACACCAAAAAATAGTTGCAGGGATCATAAGCCAGATCTTCTTGATAACCTTATCAACCTCCCAAAGACTTCAGCTCATATGTGCCTCTCTCAGGGTCTGTGGCATTACCCAACTTAGACCAAAAATACAAAAGAACATGTTCCATTGGTCTGTGGCTACTAGCAGTGTAGAAGTAGGTGACTAACTGTTTCCTAGTGTCTCCTGCAAAGGTAACATCTGTTGACCAGCTGAAATCCCCTTCTGCATAGGTTATCTTGCGTTAAGCAGGCTTCGTGAAGGGCAATCCAGTTGAAGCATGTCACCTTCACAGGTAACTTTGTTCTCCATATCAGTTTCCAAGGCCATGAATGCAATACCTGATTCTGATTGTTAAGTTGCATGTAGCAATCTTTAACAGTATAAAGACCTTTACATCCCCATCTCATACTGTCTGGAGCATTCTCATGAATGTTGTAGGCCTCTAATCTTGCTAGCATTTCCATCAAATCTTCTATCTCCCAATCTTGAACAGATCTTCTGAGTTGCACATTCCAATTATCATTTGCTCTGTTATGAGCAATAGAAGAATTCTTGTCCAAGGCAATGTTGAATAAGCTAGGATAGTCCTCCATGAGAGGAGTGTTGTTTAGCCATTTATCTTTCCAAAACTTAATATGACATCCACTGCTTGGTTTGAAATGAATATTCTGAAAAAATTCATTCTCCAGTTTGCTAATATGCTTCCAGGGCCCTACTCCATGGGATGCACTGATAGTTTTGGTGCTCCAATTGTCTTTAATCCCATGTTTTGCATTGATCACCTCTTTCCATAGACTTGATTCACATGTGCCATATCTCCAGAGCCATTTCATTAGCAAACCTTTATTGTGCTTGTCTAGATTTCTGACCCCCAATCCACCTTTGCATTTAGGTTGCAATACCTTATCCCATTTAATCAAATGATACTTGTGAGAACTGTTGTTTCTTTCCCATCGAAAGTCCCTCCTGATCTTGTCCGGCCTTTTAAGTACTTTTTTAGGGATGGGAAACATCGACATGACATAGGTGGGTATGCTGTCAAGCACACTGCTGATGAGAGTGAGTCTTCCTCCCATAGAGAGGTATTGTTGTTGCCATGAAGCCAGTCTTTTCTCAAAATTCTCCACTGCACCATTCCAAATAGGTTGTAGGCAATGACCCTATACTGCAACCGATGATCCTTGCCAACTCCTCAATGTTGCTCACCCGATTGACTGGATATATAATACTTCTCTGCTTGTTGATGTGAAGTCCTGACAATGCTTCGAATAGCTGGAGTGTAAGATTCAGGTACAAGACTTGGGCTCTATCTGCCTCATAGAAAATCAGTGTGTCATCAGCGTCTAATAAATGTGAGATAGTGACTGAGTTTCCGGTGTTTGTGCCTACACTGAATCCTTGGATCCATTGCATTTCTCTGGCTTTTTCCACCATTTTACTTAAACCCTCCATGGCTAGTATGAATAGGAAGGGGGAAAGAGGATCCCCTTGCCTAATTCCTTTCTGAGGTGAAAAGAAACCAACAAGACCTCTATTGATTAAGACTGAGTACTTGACCATAGAGATACTGTATCTGATCCACTTTAACCATTTGTCTCCAAACTCCATTCTCCTCAAAATAGATAGCAAGTAAGACCAGTTTAATTGATCAAATGCCTTTTCTATATCCAGGTTTACACATAACACCAGGTGTGTCAGTTTTAAGCCTCCAATCCAACACTTCATTAGCTATGAGAGCTGCATCAGTAATCTGTCTGTGTTTAATGAAAGCATTTTAATGAGAAGAAACCAACTTTCCAATAACCTTTTTCAGTCTTTCTGCCAACACCTTGGCCACAATCTTATAAATACTACCAATAAGGCTTATTGGTCTGTAATCCCTAAGCTCAATAGCTCCCTTCTTCTTAGGTATCAAGGCAATGAAAGAGGCATTGCATATCTCTCCATGTAACAATGTTGGTGAAAATGATTTAGTGCTGCCATAATGTCTGGTTTGATGAAATCCCATGACTTCTGAAAGAAGGCCATGGTAAAGCCATCTGAACCTGGGGCTTTATCTGGGGCACATGATTGAATGATAGCATAAACTTCATCTTCCTCAAAACCTTTTTCAAGCAGCTCACTTTCCTCCTCTGATAGTCTGGCAACATCTTCAAAGTTGGAAGATGGTCTCCACTCTTCCTTATCTGTGTATAGAGATTGGTAATAGTTTAATATCTCCCTTTTGATCAATTCTTTATCTTCTGTAATCTCATTGTTTATCTTGAGCGTGTCTATTGAGTTGCATCTCCTATGAGAGTTGGCCAACGCTTGAAAGTATTTAGTGTTCCTGTCCCCTTCTTTTAGCCATAAGCATCTAGATTTGTGCCTCCAAGAAATTTCTTCAGCTTTAGCAATCTCTTCCAACTTCATTCTTAGAGTCAGAAACCTTTGTTTTTCTGCTTGAGTTGGAGCTCTGCTTTCAGTTGCTTTTTCTAAGGCTAAGAGTTCATCAAGAGCCCTGCTTCTCTTAGTGTCTAACATGCCATTAACTTCTTTGTTCCACTTGGAGATGTCCTTCTTCAAGCTCCTCAACTTCTGAATAAGCACAAAGTCTGGGTTGCCACTTATTGTGTAATTTTGCCACCACCCTTTCACCATATCAATGAATCCTTCTCTTTGAAGCCACATGTTTTCAAATTTAAAGTAAGATGTTGTTGAATCCCATTCTCCACTTTCTAGCAATAAAGGTTTGTGATCTGAGATGACTCTTGGGAGTGCTAGTTGCTTGATGGCTCTAAAACTTTCATTCCATTCTGTGGAGACCAAGAACCTGTCAATTCTTGAGGCTTGGAAAATATCCTCCCCTCCTAACCAGGTGTATTGTGCTCCATGTAATGGCAAATCCATTAGCTGCAGGTCCTCAATTGCTTCAGAGAAGCATCTCATAGCTTTGGTCCTTCTATAATAGTTCAATCTATCAGATTCATACATACATACATTGAAATCCCCTCCAACAACCCATTGTTCCTCCCAAATACCTCTGACTGATCCCAATTCCTGCCAAAAATCTTCCCTTTCAGCATTGGAGTGAGGACCATAAACACCTGTAAACCCCCATCTGAAGTCCTCATGGAGGCTCTCAAGAAAGCAAGTATTAGTGAAGCACCCCTAGTGAGAGTCAATACACCTCCACAATCTCTTATCCCATAGAATAAGAATGCCACCCCTAGTGCCACTAGCCTTCAAGTCTGCCCATTCAGCCCACCTATTCCCCCAAATTTGGTAAATCATATTGGTTGGAATATTCTCCATTTTGGTTTCTTGAAGACACAGAATATTAGCTTTCCACTTCCTAACTAGTGATGTGATAGTGCTCCGTTTATCCCTGTCATTGAGGCCCCTAATGTTCCAGCTGAGAATTTTAACTTTCATCTGAAAAGAGCCTTGCCTTGCCTGCCCCTTTCCTTTTTATTCCTTCCCTCATAGTTGATGCCACATATTAAGTTCTGGACCTCAGTTTCCCCTTTTTCCTCCCTTTCCCCTTCTTACTAGTTGAAGAGGGTGATCCCCTTTGTTGTAGTTGAACCTGTCTTTTCTGGTCCATTCTCATGATTAAGTCAAAAATTTCATGCTCAAATCCAGCACCGTTGATCCCGAAAGCCTTGCATACTTTACCCAACACCAATTTGGTCCATTTGGAGGTTTCTACTGTTGTAGGTTGTTGAATTCCTTGCTGGAATCCCTGTAATTCCAGATGTTCATCATCATGCCATGGTAGAGAAAGTGACTCAATGTATGAATCTGTTTCTGAGCGCATTAATGCAGTAGAGGTAGCATCGGACCAACCCAGTTGTTGAGGAAGACCCCTTACATTAGAAAGAAAATTTTCTGATTCATCACCAGCTTCGTCATCAGCTTCTGAGTGTGTCACAGGTGTTGCATGCGTGACTGCTTCAGAGAATGGCACTATGGATTGGGGCTGCTGATAGAAGGTTGAAGAAGAAGAAGGAATAGCAATGCTGGAATTAAGTCGTAGATCCAGTAGAGGCCCTTTAGCACGCCATTCCTGAATGATTGTGGGTTTAGTTGCCTTCATCTTTTGTTGGGCCTTCTTTTTTGGGGCTTTGTAATAATTAAAAGATTGGCCCACCATCTTCTCTTTAATGACTCCTGAGGTGCTTTCTTTATTGGGCCTGCACTGGCTAATATTATTATTAGCCCGTGTATGGAGAAGGGATGGAAGAGGGCCCAAAAGTTTTGAATTAAAGTGACCATTTGACAGCTGTCCCTCCACGTGCTCTGAACTGACTGCAACCCTATCGTTTTCCCCCAAACATATCGCCTTAGTTTTGGCCGCTATTTTTGCATCGGTTGGCCGGAAAGGTTTTGGCGAGGCTGCTACCTCCTTCAGAATTGATATTTCGAAACTCCAGCACTCCACATCGAGCTCTATCTTATCTGGACATTCAATATTACCATTGTTAACACAGATTCTTGCCCAGAGGTAGTGATTCTGGTGCCTCGTATCTTCGTCAATGTCTATGAAGCCACCACACATGTCGCCAATGATTCTAAATGTCTCGAGGTTCCAAGCATTAATGGGAATTCCTAAAGCCTTAATCCATTTTTTACCAGATCTCTGCGAGGCTAACTCAGTGCCCGCCACCGGCGACCACCACTCCAATGAAAGGCGTCGACCGTTCCAGAACCAATCTCCAGCATGGACTATCACTGCTTCTTTTTTTTATGGAAATTCAAAGAGAAATTGATTGTGGGACATTGGAGTTACTTTCAGACCCTCGCAAACCTTCCACCTATTCAGAAACCATTTTTGTATCACCTCATGGTTGGGGCTGTAGTTGAAGGGATCGTTGAAAGTGCCGACTAAGCACCTTGAGAGAAAATAGCGATTCCCGTCATCTGCGCGTGGGTTAACTGCTTTGACAGTGTTAACCATCCTTGCTGGAAGCTTCGTCACCGGCGACCGAGAAATTTTTGTTGTTTCTGCATAGGATTGAAGAGTAGGAGGAAGTCTAGATCTGCTTGTACTTTGTTTCCCCAGAAAGTGTAAAATTTTGTTTGCTATATCTTCCCATCCCAAGTTGTAATCTGCTTCAGGAATAATCACTGCCTTCTTCCTGCTCCCCAACCATGCTTCAATACGTATGAATCTACCACAGCTATTGAAATTTACAAAGGCTTTGTAATAGTATGACTGTGAACTCCACCCCCAACGTCTGTAGTAATTCCCCTCCCTTTCGGTTGCTTGTCTGAGTGCTGTGCAAACTCGCCTGAGACTTTCCTCATCTATGTTAATTTGACACGAAAATCTTCTTCCCCTTTCAACTATAGTAAACCACCCCTCGCCATCGGTGATCTCAAAAGATTTCTCACCTGAAATAAAAAATATCTTGGCTTCCATGGTAAAGAAAGTTAGAGGAGAGTAACGGAGTACAGAGATGCCGGCAAGACATGTTTCAAAAGGAGAGAGAAAAAAGCTGGGCACGTTTCCCAAGTCAGAGCCATTTTTGAATTGCTTATGCTGTGAGTAATACCTGAAGTTATCACAGACTTCCTGGAAGGCCTTCCGCTTGTTACTTTCCTACACAAAAAAAAGTGAACATTATTGAAATAAGTCATATACAAGACTCCCAACTAGATATGGTGTTCGAGTTTCAATGTGCTAATTGATGCACTTTGAGCTTCAATTTTAAATTATAATAAAAGATGTCACACGTTTATGCCATGTCCTTCTACTGTTCAACACATACAGCCACCTATAGATATGGTGTTTGAGCTTCACTGAACATAATAACTAAAGCCAGCATGACTGACCAACACCTCCCCCCAACAATAAAAGAAAGAAAAAGAACAGAGTTACGCCTATGGAACTAAAAGCAAATCTATCGGTATGACTAACTTGAAACTAAGAATTACAATCCAACTGTATGCAGCTTCACATAATCTTTATATCTCATTTTATGTCATGCATTCTGCATTCTCAAACGAGTTTCAATTGCTTGCACTATTTGTTAGAATTTACGCATTGGTTGAGGCCTGAGGGAATGAGCTGGTGTCTATGATCCTCGGCAATCCTAACATTTCTGCTCTGGCTTTTGGAGTTAATTTAAACCCAAGGTCCAGCTTTTCACATGGTATCAAAACCAGACCCATTCCTATTCTTGATTTACGCAATGTTAGACCCTACATTCTATAGTTCACACTCCAAATGTCCATGTCCAATGCAAAGAGTTAAACTGTCACACATTGGTTGAGGGAATAGACTGTTACCTCCACATATAGTGTTCCGCAATACTCACCTCATTAGCTAACTTTTGGAGTTGAGTTAACCTCAAAGTCCATTTTTAATACTATTCAAAGTCATGGCTCTAAGGTCATATAAAGTTTCTCGTCCATTTACTATCTCCGATTTAGATATTCCTACATGTCAAAAGAGATTGCGGGAGGAAGCTGCTATAACATGCAAAAGGTTGAGGGATTTCCTCGAAAGCCCCTCCAAGCATGAACATATACTTGAGGTAAGCTTGCCCAAAAAGTAAGCAAATTGTTCCTGTTTAACCTCAATGATGTTTCTCTGGTTACAAACAAACATATCGTGGATGAAACGGAAAAGATTTAAGTGGGATACACTGAGAGAGGATACAACAACTATGTCTCACTCAGAACTAGTTGGAGTTGATTACATGAATCTGTGTATTTATTGGACTAAATTTGAGCCTCTTTCGTTACATTACTCAGTAACAGGAATTCTCTAAAACTATGGATTCTGTAAATCTCTCACCAATCCCTACATTATTGAATAGTCTCCAACCAAACTTATGAGACTCCAGTAAACATCCGGATCTAGTTAATGTGTCCCAACGACGACTAATCCTAATCCGAATAGCTGGTATCGAACAATACTGATACTTCACCCCTAATGTGTTTTATTTTTCGCTAAGTCCACATAAGGTCTAAGAAATTGTAAATCATTTGAGATACTTCTCTACGCGAATTTCTATCAACCTCAACCTTTTTCTCGACACCTTTAGCCATCATGGTATCACATCTATGAATCTGCTTGCACCTTCTGTCGCACGTTACATTTTGTAGTCTTATCTAATATTATATGACCACAATTTCATTTAAACATCTACATTTTGTCATACTCATGCTGTGAATACTTATAGGACCAACATTCACTCTCATATAGTGTTTCTGGTCTCACAATTGTTTTCAAGAATTTGCCTTTCACTCTGGTACGTATCCCGACACTTCCATGAAACTTAGTCTTCATCCATCATTATTTTCTTAAAATACCGAGCCTAAATATTTGAGTCGTCTAATCTCACCTCAACATCATTTTTCTTATGTTGGATGAACCTGCAGTGCATATATTCCATCTCACTTCGACATGTCCTAAAAGCCTTATTATCAAGAGTTCTTCACTTTAGTTTATTTTCTCACCAATTCCATCAATTAACAAAATATCATCTAGGAATACCATACACCATAAAACCTCACCTTGTATTCTATTGATTAACCCAATGCATGACTAGAGTAACAAGTACGTGCTCAAAGTAGATCTCTAATGTTAAAAGAACCACAGTTAACATATGCTTTCTATCCTGCTCGGATTTAAGGAGATATGTAAATTCGTCCTCTTGATTTGAGTTGAGCCATTGTTCGAATAGCCTCTCTATACCGATTGATCTCTATCTCCTACCAAGACTTGTGGGCTATTGTCCATAACAAAACTAAACTTCTTTTTATAAGGTAAATAATTTTATTAATAATTGGGGGAAACCCCACATACAAGCCGTATACCTAAAAGAAGAGAACCTACACCAAAATATGGTTCTCAACAAAAGAGGCTCAATCCTCTATACAAATAGGGACTTCATGAGAACATTGAAAAGAAACTAGAAACAAAAAACTACTTTATACTTCAGATGCCCTCCTATTTCTTTCATTCCAAATAACCCACATGAATGTTAATGGGGCAACCTGCCATGCCCTAGGACTTCTCTTTCCCCTCGGGTGAACCCAGCTATGCAACGCCTCTTCTACGTTGTGTCCCAAACAAATTAAGCACCACCCTCCACAACCGATTAGCCACTTGACAATGCAATAGAAGATGATTTACGTCTTCACCCGAGCTTTTACACATGAAACCCCAACCAAGATAAGTGATTCTCCCTCTTTCTTAGATTTTCCACTGTTAAAATCACTCCCCTTGCTGCAACCATGCAATGAAACACACCTTTCTCAACACTCTAGGAGTCCAAATAGAGCAATGTGGAAAGATGCATTCCTCCCCTTAGCAACCTCTTATAATATGATTTAAGAGTGAAAATTGCATCCAACCATCTCCATGCGTCTGATATGTAGTTTGGCGTATTCAACCCATACAGCATCTCAACCACATTGTGAAATTCACCATCTCTTAATCTTGTAAGTCCCTCCTGAATCTCAAATCCCAATAAACTATCCTTTCATGAGACTTATAGATTTGTTGAATTGTCATCCCTCTTTGGCTTGATACACTATACAAGTTAGGGGAGGCTTCCCTCAACTCGTTCTCCCTACACCACTTATGCGCTAAAAAACTAACAGTACTTCCATCCCCAACCCTAAAAGAAATATGTCCACTAAAGTCTCCCCGCCCCTTCACGATACTTCTCCACAAGCCACTATGGAACTGTGATGTTTCTGGTCCTCCTTTCAATTATACCATATTTTTTCGCTATCACGCCCCTCCAAAATGCGTTCTCTTCCATCCCAAATATCCATATCCACTTTCCTAACAAAGCTTTGTTAAAAACCTTGAGATCTTCCACTCTGATTCATCCCCATACCTTTCGAGATGTGACAACTCTCTTATTCACTAAATGACTTGTTCCTTCCGCCATGTCCCATAAGAAGTTCCGCTGAAGTCTTCCAAACATCTCGGTCACCTTACCAGGGGACTGTAAGAGTGACAGCAAATAAGTTGGTATGCTAGAAAGTGTGCTTTTGATTAATACTTCTTTCCCCCCTCTCGACGAGTACCTCTTTTGCCATCGCGCTTCCCTTGTTTCGACAAGTATCTCTTTTGCCACACCGCTAACTGCTTCTCTACTCTCTCTGTCAACGGATTGCACACCGCAAGATCTCTGCTCGAAGCACCCAGCGGTAACCCCAAATAGGTAGTAGATTTAAGTTTTTACTCCCCTTGTCTCTCAATCATACATTTTTTCTCCTCTCTAGAATTCCTACCTTTTGGTACATGCTTATGGAGTCTGCTAAAGAGTTCAGTAACCAAAATCCTTACCCACGCCTATTGTTGCAAGAGAAGAGAAACTTGTCAAAACATTTTGCTTAGTAATTCAACTTAGCAGGGCATTAAGGCTCCAAAGCCTCAAAAGACTGTTGAGGCACCAGCTGAATTGCTAGCAATACAGTGAATGTATGTAATGGTTGAGAGATTTACAGCAAGATTTGCAAAGTGGAAAACAAACTAAGCAGATAAGTTGTGGCACTTACCACAGTCATGTGCTGCCGGCATTTCATGAATGTCCAGTCTCCTGCTCCATAGCGTCCATGGGCTCCTCCATCTCTAGTGCTGGTATTTTAATAACAAAAGGTTCAATAAGCAACTCAATCCATGAAATATACGGGTAGAGAACAATGCAGAAGCTAGTTCCACTGACCTGCCTATAAGATATTCACCGAGTGGAAGAGTGCCATTCACCCATTCCAAAACACCCGCACTTGGAGTAAAAGGTACAACCTGTCTCACAAACACAACAATCTAAAATGAGTGGACAGAGGAAGTATATAAAATGAGCTGGAGAATTTGTACAAGGTCATATAACAACTCATTCCTGCCGAACCATGTGGAATGCATTAACAAGCATATGATTAACAAAGTACCATAAGATCGTGAACCAATATTTATACAACTCCTAGGCAAGATAGACTTGAACAATCTACTCAATAACATTAAATCAGGAGGTGATATAGTTAATAGTCATATTAAGCAGTAGGGAAGAATAGTATAGATAGTAATTGAAAGATTATCATTAAGCAAAACAAGTGTAATTAAAGAGTACAGTTTTAAGTTCAACAGAAAAGAATTAAATAATTTGGCACGCGCCCCTTCAAAGAGGAACTTAAGTCAAGGATTTTTGTTTTCCATTATAATTTTTTTTGGAATTGAAGGTGCTTTTACCCTTTTAAGATGTTACCTTGTAAGTGCGAATTCTCAGCCTTCTTTTCCAAGTGTCCCGATGGTTCTGTAAGAAAGTATTTACTAAGCCAAAGAACTGTTCCATCACCTGTGTATTAAATTCAAAATGTATATCAATACTCACGAGAAAAGAAAACCTATAGCAGGGAATTTGCAATCCATGACATACCATTTCTTGAGCTCAATGCACACAACACAAATTACAAGTGGAAAGGGAAGGCATCCACAGACATGAAATAAACAAGAGGCCAACCATGGATTTTACCAGCACCTTAAGGCTCTTACTTATGGCTGGGATCAAACAAGGTAAAAGTACACCAAGAAATCAGGGAAGAACGGGCAATCACTGATAACAACGGAATTAATGCTTCTACAATAACCAGCAGAAATAATGGATTATAAGCCTTAAACATTGATGCTAGTCCATGCTTCCAAATTTGACAGATATGTAAAGAAAAGAACTAACTCTGTGGTATCTGACACTCCCCTCAATCTTCCATGATTCTCATAAAGCATGCTAGTAAAAAAATTGTCATGTATTTGTGCTGAATTTCAGTGTGCCAAATATAGCGGATGTAAAAGAAAGAGTTTAAGCACGTACAGCATCTTGTCTCAGGTCATCATTGCCAGATTTTGCAAGTTGTCGGTATTTATTGCCATCGGAGCCGAAACATTCAACAACTTTTGGCGCATTTATACCATTCATCACACTGTAGAACACAATAGTTAAAACACAGGAGAACTATGACAACTGTATTTGAACAGCCTGTTGTATTGAACTACATCTAGAGCACTTAAACCATTTGTGAGAAAGCACGGGAGAAATTATATTATTGATATTAGTTTTTCAATATAATACAAGAAGTCCTATTTATAGCTATACTCTACAAAGTACATATTACTCCTATTCCAATGTGGGACTAGACTTACTTATATACATAACTATCTAACTCCATTTATTGCACTCCGAAGCACAACAGTTTAAGTCACAGGAAAACCATAAGAAACTGCTACAGAGTGGCATGTATACTTTGTTACTTACGTGACAGAATCTGCTAATCCTTTAAAGTGCGGAAAGGAGCCTTCAGTGTATTGACAACTCGGGTCAATTGCNATCTGCTCTTATATTCCAATCCCTCACTTTTTTACTGATAAAAGCATCAAGCCAGCCTACATGCAGAAGTGAGTTGCAACAAGTACAGGTTGAAAAAGCCTAGGACAATTATCATCCAAGACTGCTTGTCACTCAGGGTGCAGACCCAGACAGCGGACGCCGAGAACAGTAATGTAGACTTGAATTACAGTTTGAAAGAAATAACTATTGAACTTACAAGTTCAAGATCTCGGATGCTGCGAATTTCCCTCGGAAGATTAACCTTTTTGTTAGTATCCTGCTCAAAAATTCTAGTTGTTAGTTGTGAAATAGCAAAAGATGCTGCAGTTCCACTTACAATAAAACAAGCCTTACCGCCACCCCCATCCAACGAGAAAAAGAAAGAAATGAAAAAAGAAGAATGGAACATAAAGCAGATAAATATCAATATAACAAGAAGATGAAGACATCTGCTTACCTCCCTTTTTGTTTCTAATTCAGCTAGTTTAATGTAGATCTCAACCATTTGCTTCATCTGTTTACCAAAGAGATAACCACTTTATGGTGCACAAAATATAAAATACACAAAGAAAACTTGCTGAATTATAATCGAAAATCTAACCAGAATGCTGATGAGTCAGTACCTGTCTGATGACAGCTCCATGATACGAAGATAACTCCTTCAACAGATTTTCTGCAGCGGCTTTTTTATCCATGTCAACCACAAAAGAACTTCTGCTACGTTGTTTGTCTTTGATTCGATCACCATTTGCCAAAGCTAGAAGCTGACACAACCACCAGGAAAATAAAATCCTGATGTAGTAGGTTGATAAACATATTCATGAAATACTAGAAAGGAGTGCATCCTTCAAGTTAAGATATTTTAAATATCTTTCTGATGCGAACTGCCACTAAAATTTAGAAGAAAGAAAAGTTTGAAACAATATGGAACATTCAACTTCACATATCGTGCCCTAATTACCTGAAATATCGTATGATATGGATGGTCAATGGCCATTCTTTTGATGAGAGAAACCAAAGCAAACTGCATAACGCAAAATTCATATTCAGTCACCTAGAAACCTCTTTTTTTATGAAAAAAAAAGTATCAACTCAACCAACAGATAAAAGCAAATCAAAGTGAAACAGCAAAAAGCACAAGCACAGAGTCTCAGGTTATACCTGGAAGTTTTGAGCTCCCTGACTTTCTTTTGTGCTTCCCATCCTTGAAGCAATTTGGTAAACTAGTGGAATAAACTTGTAAGATTGAACCTGAAAGTAAATGATACATTGTATCCTGAATAATTTACAGTCTAGAGCTAATATAAAATACGCAAATACAAAACAGATTATTTTTGAAGATACAGCCTTGTAAAGCTTCCGATGTCAACTTATAACAATGATCGAAGTATACCTCACTTATTGTGCCGAGCATGCTATCCACAACAATTGGTCTAAATGAGAGACCAAACCACAGTGAAATAAGTCGAAATACCTGTAAAAAGGGTAGCTCTAAAAATTTAAATAAAGCCAGAGACAGCTTAATGAAATTTCTAATGACCGCATACAGTGTTGGTTTGCCGAAAAAATCTTGAAACATTTCTACTTTCCCCATTTAAAGGCAGTAAAACAGAAGCATTTCATCCATTAAAATAAATCTTGACAAACTATATAATTAAAAAATCAACGATTAGACTCATCTATAATCATTGTTTCAGCTGATTTAGAACAAAATAACTTCAAATCTTCTCCTCCCCCTTCCCACCCAAAAAAAAAAGGATCCAGGACTTGGTCTCAGCAGAAAAACCCATAAAATCAGAAAGCAGCAAGCAATACATACCACCCTGACATCATATTTATCTCCTATTACTAAACAGCGTTTATATTCATCAAGCGCCGTGCTCAGAAAGTTGTCCCTGTCTTCCTGAACAGCCAAGATAAGAAAAGAAAGCAAATCATGACAGTTAACAAACGCATAATCAGCTTCAGGTAATGTGCAACAGTTTGCACAGGAAATAATTGCAAGTGTTAAAATTACTCCTCCTGAACTTTAAAAGAGGAGAAGGAACAGTTCAATAACTTTTAACAACAGTGAAGACTAGGACAAAGGTTTATCAGTGTAACAAAAATTAAGGAGAATTATAAAAGCTACTTTAATTTGAATTGTCTTTTCAAAGTACTTCATTTGACAGAATAAAACGATAATATTTTAATAGTAATTTCCCGCCATATAACCTACAAGATCATTTATACAGCTCTTATGTACCTTAACATTATTAGCAAATTCAAAATTGTTAAAAGTTGCCAATGGGAAATTAAGACTAAACATATTTAAAGCTGCAATGCTACACGTGAATCAATGAGAAAAAACATCTGGAATACAGTAGAAACCACCTTAAAATTAGTTTTTTTAAAATAAAGAAGATAAAAGGGTTCTCCCTGAAGCAGTGCTAAAGAGAGTAATTATCATGCCACCTGCAATTTTTCAGCCTCTTCTTTATCCATTGCCAGCTGCTTCTGCAACTCTTGTATTTTTGCTGATAAGTCGGTCTTTTCTCCCTAGTATTAGAGAAATATCACATTTAAATAGGTGCAAATTCAGAATCATCCTATCTCTATAACACCAAAAAGAAAGGATGACCATCATCAAGCTTACCTTTGTTGAACTTCTTAATCGTTTAACTAATGCTTCCAGCTCCCTTGTCTGAAAAATAAAAAATTTACATAAATAACCATGGGATTATTGATTTGCCACCATCGTTTCATGACTTCCTATTACTCTTTGGTTTATTTCAGTTCCATAGCATACCTTGTGCTTTCTTAACCGCATTGCTGCCTGCCATTCACTGGAATTAAGTCGTTCTTCATAACTACGAAACAGAGCATCCGCATAGTGCGCAAGATGGAAATGCAGTTGACTTCGTTTTATGGCGGAAACCTTTCCTCGTGCCATGCAATCCTCAGCTAGAACGACTGCATGCTTCAAGTATTTCTCTAGTATAGTTCTTGAGCTGCATAACCATACTACAGAGTGAGAAAGCGGCAATCATTTTTTTGTACAGAAGGTGAAATGCAGTATCACCCTTTAAATCTATTATTGTCTGTTATCTATTTTCGAATGATGCTTGCATTAGGTTCAGTGTTCGTCAGGAGCCTTTGTTTTGTTTGACTACAGATTTGTATGTCAAGTTCCTCNGCTATGACAGAAATCGGTAACAGTAAAACAAGAAGAAATTGGATATGGCTGGGCAGGAATCAATCCCTAAATGTACTAGTCAATTGGTGGGACATTCAAAGAGCTTGTTGAAGAGAAAGAAACAATAAAAAGTGAAACATACTGGCCTTAAAGGGAAACATAAGATCAAGAAGCTGAAGAGACTAGGGCAAGTGGGGAGAGAGAGCGCCAGATAAGAAGTCAAAATATATATCACAATTAAACAGATGAAAAACATCAGACTTATATGGAAACTTAGTTCCGTTGTTGGAATACTACTGACTTGCTTGATCGTGTTTCAGCGAGCCACTTCCCAATTAACCGGAAAACATCAGATGCGTTTTCATTCGTCTGGTGGTTTAGTGAAATATACTTTGCAAGATTGATTGCCATCTGATGTTGGCCTTGAGCACGCAGAAGCTTAGCTTCTTCAAGCTGCAGCACATGAAAAGAACCATACTAGTACCAGTATAATAGAAAGTGGTGAACCAGTAAGCAGAGTTTAGCATCGATTTTTAAAGTGAACGAAGAGTAAGAACTTGCAGCGGAAGAAATATCTGAAGATCTCAAAGTAAACCCGAGCAAAAAGAACTACTTGAGACCTTTCATAACATGGACTATACAGAAAGTATACCTCATTTTGTCAGTTAACTCATCAAATATCAGAAGCCAGAAACATGTGGAAACATGTAAAACTTCAGAAAACTCATAATCAAATGTATTAGCACTTTCTTAAAATGTTATACCAATATAACTTCAGCATGGGTTATAAATCCCTTTTTATTTATTTTTTGCTGTTAGTTGACAAGAACAGGTAATCAGGTCAAACATCTTCTAAAGTCTCATTTATGATTCTTTGTTGAATCATTTGTATCACATTATCGAAAATCTCAAATTCTTAGAAAGTGGATTTTGTCTTAGCTTATGGTTTCCTGAGAAACATCAATGGAACATATGAGAACTAAATTGCACAGCTGCCCACTTGCATATATTCTTCATGGAATAAAAAACCATGTTCATACCCTTCCAAGTTACTCGATACTAGAGCACAAAGAATAATCAAATCGGACAAGCAGTCGCATTGCATCAAACATTAATTTATTAAAGAACATGTTCATACTCGTCCAAGCCAGTAAAGGTTGGAATGTTCTCCCATTTCTGCACAGAGAAACTTGAATTCATGCAAAGCTGAAGCAGCCTGAGAAAACCTAGCCACCTACACAAAGAAGATATTTAGCAAAAATTATAGTGATCATTTCTACAGGGAGTACCCATTATACCAGAATCACCTTGCGGAGAGTAGCTGCAGATTCAAGCAGATGTTGTACAGTATAATCCTGGCAATTTAAAATATGAAGCAAAACTCTTCTAAATGCCACAAATGGTTCCAGCAAATTCATATGTAACTGTGCTTGCTTCAAAGTCCGCTTCCAGTCCATGTCTAGCCATGATAACTGCATTGGCCAATTCCAAGTCAAAAGGCACAGTATTCAGTACGTTACTAACCAGGTCCATGATAAGCATCACGAATAATATACATGCAAAATGCTTCTTATTCTGATGCCATCAGAGGCAAAATGGGTATCAGAACTATTCAATTATCTACGGGAAAGGATAATTAAGACTATCACATGCCATATATGTAGAACGATACAATGTTATATTTTTAATATTTCGCTAGTTGACAAAACTAGCAAGGGTGTCAATTGTCAACCAATAGCTTGAACTTTAGAGAAGCACTATAGAAGTAAGAGTTTTAGGATAAGTAGAAGTAAGATTGAATATGTACTGCAAGCTTAGTCAGTATGAGAAGAATGAAGTTGAGGTGGTATCCAACGGGATTGTGGTGCCTAAATGCAAATGATTTACATATGTAGGCTCGAAGTTTCAGGAGAATGGTATGACGAACAAGATGTTATGCATAAGATCAAAATAGGATGGTTGAAATGGAGAAGTGCTACCGAAAGTGTTATGTGATACAAGGACACCTATACAAGTGAAAGGTAAGTTCTATAGAACCGTTCTGAGACAAATATAACATTGTCCAGAACTTGAAGATGAAATGTTTGGCCCTTTTCTACTTTTGGAGTAAACAAGAGTATATGGAAGATCATGAGTCTTTTGTTGATGTCATAGAATCCTTGTAACAGATTAATAACTAAGAGACTCCTATACTCTTCCCTGTAATTATGTACTTATCTTTGATGATTTTAATATATATGCAAAAATTGTTACCTTCTAAAAAAAGGTCTATAATAGTTATAAAACCAACAATGTTGTGAGTGTCTCTAAGAAGGACATGCTAAGATAAATGTGCGGTCCTACAAGATTAGAAATGATCATGTTCAATAGAAGGTGCAATTAGAACACATCGAGGATAAAATAGGAGGTTTCTTGTAATGGTCTGGTCATGTCCTGCATTGACCTCCAGATGCACTGGTCTCTAAATGCGAAACCATGGTGAGCGGAGATGTTTAAAGGAAAGTAGAAAACGACCTTCAATCTCTTGGAATTCATACAAGCCTAGCGAAAATAAGCACAATAAAAAGAAAAAGATCTATATAGGGGATACCATTAATTGGACTATGTTTTAGACAGGTTAATACATTTACTTCACATCTTATGTTTTCAAGAGTCCTTTAATCCTATTTGAGAATTACATGCCAATAGAGAATACAAAGAATTAGGACTACTTTATTATTATTATTATTATTATTATTATTATTATTATTATTATTATTATTATTATTATTATTATTATTATTATTAATACTATTGCTACTACTACTATAAACATCATTATTATTATTCAAGTAAGGGGCAATGGTTATTATCATTATCATTATATTATTATTATTATTATTATTATTATTATTATTATTATTATTATTATTATTATTATTATTATTATTATTATTATCATTATTACTTGGTATACTATGGATCTAAGATGAGCTTAAATAGAGTAGCATAGTAAGTGAGATTTCACACTGCCTATCCAACTTGCTTGGGATTGAAGAGTAATTATTGTTTTTGTTATCATAGAGAAACAAAAACTGTATAATACCTGAGTAATTGATGGAAGTACAGGTTTAGATGAGACCTTTGGCATCTTCAAAGAATCCAGCATTGTGCAAGATGAAGTCCAACGTGAATCCCAAGTCATCCCGAGGTGATAAAGTATCTGCATAAGAATGGATAAACTTGCAAAGGATCTGTAGTTCTGTACTAATATATGTAATTGTTCTTCTTTTCATGGATAAGTTGCTTAGTGAAAGGGAACCTTAAGCACAATGTAAAAAAAAAAAAAAAAAAAAAAAAAAAAAAAAAAAAAAAAAAAAAAAAAAAACT